TGCATGCCGCGAAGGCGCTGCACTGACGGGTGACCAAGGCGGTGGTGCCAGAGGACAGTCCTGTGTGACAGGGAGCGACACGAGCAGGGGGCCGACAGCTGACCTGACGCAGACGCATACGCAACTACCTGAGGAGACTCAGTGGTCAGTGTGTACAAGTCCGACCCCGGCTGCCGAGTGAAGGTAGCTAGGTGACGTCCCGTCCGCGCACACGTGCAGTGCGTCACACGCTCGTAGGCCGGGGTGAACTGGTGAACACCCGCGTCCTGGAGTGCGGAACCCGCCACCAAGTTCGTAGAGAACGAGGGGAGGTAGAGGCCCGACAGTGTGCCAGACGGGACAGCAGGACAAGGGAGGGCAGTGGTGGAGGTCGCAAGAACCGGACCCCCTGAGGGGTCAGCCAGAGAGACAGCAACCGGTCGAGGAAGCTGCTCTAGGGCAGTGCGGTCACGAAAGAAACAGCGGGAAGCACCTGAGTCCAGTGTGAAGGTGTGCAGTGCCTCAGTAGGTGCGGCACCAGCAGACGTAGACGCACTAGCACCTAGGGCAGCAGCCTCACCAGGACCTAGAGCAGCAGACGCGCTAGCACCTAGAGCTGCAGCCTCACTGGTCCCAATGCCCGGGTCAGGCGGAACACTCAGGTAACAGTCACCCTCAGCACTAATAGTCAATGCATACACAGCAGCAAGAATAGCATCATAATCAAGAGCAAAGATATCAATCCCCTTCTTAAGCAGATCAGCCCAGCGGGGCAGCTCAGAGGCGTCAGGAAACTGCTCGCGCCAGGCGTCGTCGAGGCGAAAGAAACAGCGCTGCGCAGTGTCAAACCTCCCACAAGTCTGGCCAGTGCGGTCACCTGTGCGGATGACGTACGGGCAGGTACCCCCCTCCCCAAGACCCCCCACGCTGAGAGTACCACTCACGGAGCTGCTGGGGCGAGGGAGCCTCGCCGGGGCGCTGCTGCTGCAGCCTCTGGCCACCGCCAAACCCCCCACGCTGCACCGCTCCACCGCGCCCGCCACCCGCTCCACCGCCGCCACCACTGCCAGCACCACCTCCACCACCCCCACCACCGTCGCCGCCGCCACCACCCCCTGTGCCGCCACTGACCCCCCCACCACCCGCGCCACTCCCACTCCCGCCACCACCCCCGCCCCCCCCACCTCCTCCACCGCCGCCGCCCCCTCCTCCACCTCCACCACCCCTGCCCCCCTTGCCCCTGCCGCCCTTGCGTCTCCCACTAGGAGTAGACGCGGCCCCGACCCTCTCAGCTCCGAGGTAGTCGACAGCAGCAGCAGATGCAATGGAGGGGAGGAGGGGGGAGGGGGAGCACCCCTCAAAGAAGGGGGTGCGGGGGTCACCACGAGAGGCACCTACAGCGACAATGCTCTTCTCAGCTGCTAGGAGCTCCTTCTCGAGGAGGTCGACAGTGAGGTCAGTGGGGGAGAGGGCGAGAAACTGGTCCCTGACAGTGCGAAGGGAGTCAGGGAGGCGGGTGACAAGGTGGTACAGTGTGAGGTACATCGGGGGGGGGTTCTTGGCGAGGAAATCGGGGGGGAGCGCTGCACGGTAGCGGAGGTCACTGGTACGGAGGTGGGTGATGAGGTCAGCTACAGTGGCAAAGGCGGACAGGTCGGGGAAGAGGTAGGGCAGTGAGAGACGGCCTATGGCAGCTGTGGCAGGGGAGGAGTAGCGCGCGACTACTGCGTCGTACAGCTCCTTGGCGGTCTTATGTTGTCCGAAGTGCTCGCGCTCATCTAACGGTAGGTGACTGCGAACGGCTAGGCGAGCGTGTGCATCACGGGTCTGCCACTGGGAGCGAGCAGTACTGTCAGCAGTAGCGAGAGGTGTGGGAGCAGCGCCTGACGTATGGTCATACAGTGAGACATCGTCCTTGGCAGTGATCTGAAGGAACAGGTGAAGATCATCTAGCCACACCTCAAACTTAATCGGGCGACCCTCAGCGTCAAAGGTGAGAATGGATGGGGTGGCCATTGTGGCAGTAGGAACAGTAGCAGTAGTAGCAGTAGTACAGTAGGAACAGGAACAGGAGTTGCTGCAGGTGGGGCACAGTAGGGCAGCGCGGCTCGGTTCGGGCGGCGCGGCTCGGTTCGGGCGGCGCGGCTCGGTTCGGGCGGCGCGGCTCGGTTCGGGCTGTGCGGCTCGGCTCGGTCTGGGCTACGCGGCGGTGCGCGCCTGGGGGACGTGCGCGTGGGCGGCTGTAGCTGGCGGGCCATGGCCGCTCGTGGGCCTTACTAGCGCGCGGGCGGCCTAGGGAGGGCGTCGCGGCGGCCTACGGGTGGCTCACGGGCGGCGCGCGGCTAGGGGGGGCCGGTCGTCGAGCTGCTCGTGGCGGCGTGGGCGGCTAACGGGCGGCGCGCGCTCAGAAACGGCCGCGCGCGGGCTGCTAGGGGGCGACGCGCGAAAAAAAAAGGCCGCGCACGGCACTAGCGAGCCGCGCACAGGCAGCAGGAGAAGACGAGGCGCACGAGGGCGCACTAGGGGAACGGCGCTCGAGGGCGCTAGGACGATGGGGCGCTCGAGGGCGCTTCTAACGGTGGGCCCTTAGGTGAGTCCTAGGTCTAGAACCTAAGCTTTGAAACCATGTCAGAATGAGAAGTGTGTGAACTATGAAAAGTTGGAGTACAAGTAGCAAACCCTAGTTTTGTGTACCCCCTAAAGGCTAACCCACTATAGCCTACACAACAACACATGTAGTGTTTGACAAGAAGTCCAAGGGTGACATTGAATCTTGCATCACTGTAACCTCCCATTTTGCGCAGGAAGTTGTGAAGCACCTCCTGAAGCGGATGGAGAGCCTAGACACCCTCAGCCAGGGCCTTTGATATCAGGGTAAAATACCCTGATTACCCTGATTTTAGGGTTGACATAACCCCCTTGCCCTGAAGAATCAGGGTCTTAGTTTTTTCAGCCCTGAGATTTCAGGATGTCTGTTTTATATCACCCGAGATTTCAGAGTAGTGTACACCTGCCTGCCCTGAGGCGTCAGGGTTCTTGTATGGCGTACCCTGAAACGGTTATACTGTGCGCCTAGGGGGCCCAGTCCTTGATTTCCGAGAGTTGGCGCCAAAACACTCGAGTCGCCCACCACCACTCACTTTGACGACAAAATGGCCCACATGGGGCAACATACAGCGATGCGGCAGGCGTGACTGCCCGTTACAGTTCCCCCTTCACACCCACAACCACTAACACGTCTGCTGCTGCATGTCCCTAGTTGACCAGTCGTAGCACATTGTGAGTCAAGTTCCCGCGTGTTACCTCTGTGCGCTGGCAATGCCCAAGGCGCCTTCCAACTTACATCACCCCACCCATCTCAAGCCAGTGCAGTGCATGTTGGTGGCACCTGGCTACCTCGTTCACCACGCCATTCCATCTGTTCAGTACTTCTCTTCTTTGCTCGGCAGGCTCTGCTCTGCAGTGGTTGCAAACACTATGCTCTGCTCTGGGAATCCGCACTGAATACCTCTCGATCGCCATGCCGGACTCTAGCCCGCCTCCCACCCACATAGATCATGTAGTAGCTCCGATTGTTAACAACAGCAAACGTGGCCTTACGGGCCTTGACTTCCTCCGACCTGCTAGCGCTATCGTTAACATGGCCCGTTCTCGTCTCCCTGGTGCGATTTCCACCCAGCACGCTATTAGAGGGGCTCTTCGTCCCACGGTACCACCCTCGCCCTCAACTCCTGCTCAGGCTGATTCTCAGCCTGATCCATCAACTAGGGCTGTGCCGACTTCTGAAACGCGACTCTACTCTACCGCTGAGACGGGGCAGGATGGCGAGGCGTCGCCTCCTCCCGCGTCTACGTCACGGCTGACACCAGCAAGGCGGATGGGCGTGAGAGTAGGGCTGAGACATGGCACGATGCGCTTTCGGCAAGCGCAGATTACCTTCCATCGTGCCTGCGCTGGACCTTCAGCGTCAACCGCGACACCGTCCCCAATCGCAGGCCCCTCCAATCCTTCCACCTCCAACTCATCCATTCCGCTTGTCGACGAGGCAGAGCTGAAGTATCAGGACGCCCTGTACCGATACATGGAAGAGGGGTCGGGTGATTTCACGTGGCTTGTTTTGTGTCAACAACCTGACGGATTTCCCTCCGTGAAATGCAGTCTATGTGTGGCTCAGGGTGTGACAGCAATGAAATTCGGCCGCGCAGGGCATGGTGCAGTTGACATTCAGACCCAAGCGTTCCGAGGACACCAGAGAACGAGGAAGCACAAACGTGCTTTGAAGGAGCAGGAAATCGCAGAGAGGAAGGCAAAGGGACAGACATTGCTTGGCAACTGCCCCACGGTGTACGACATCGAGAAGGAGCGTGTGATCGCTCTGGCCATGACCCTGCTCTTCATATGCCAACAGGATGCACCGCTCGAGATGTGGGTCGACTTGGTGAAGCATCTAGCCGAACGCCGGACTCCTGGTTTCCCTAAGAAAGGCTACGGCGCTTACTACACCACGTAAGTCTTGTCCGAATGACACGCTTTTGCCGTTTAAGTTTCCCACTCCTTTCTAACCAGCAGGACGTGGTGTGCTTTGTTCCAGGTATGGCTTCCAGGAACTCACGAGTGCCACTGCGACATACCTTCGTGCGCGCCAGCGAGAACACATCGACGAGTCCCCTTTCCTCGGGATCACTTGTGACGAGAGCACGGATCGTGTGCGTGGCAAGCACATGATAGTGTTCATCACTTTTCTGCGAGAGCGTGCGGTCGTTACTGAGTTCTTGTCGTTGCTCACAATTGACAAGTGTGATGCTGCTTCTCTCCTCTCCGTGCTCCTCTCACACTTAGAGACCATTGGCCTCGACGTGAACAAGATATCAGGCATTGCGACGGACGGCGCACCGGTCATGTTGGGATCGTCTGGCGGTTTGGTCGCGCGGCTTCGACAGCGCCTGCCTCATATCGTTGGCACCCACTGTGTCGCTCATCGGTGAGTGATTGTCTTTTCCTGCCTGAAGGCATCGGGATTTATGAAACTGATATCCTTGTTGGTTTTCTCTGTCCGTGGCACGGAAGCTCTCGCAGCCAAGGATGCTGCGATGGTGGAGCCAGATGTTGGCTTGATTGACGTCATACTCCGTGCGGTGTGTGGCATCCTCGGGAAATCACACCCACGGCACGGTGTCTTCATGCGTCTCCAGGAGACGTTCTTACACACGAACCTGGAGATGCAGGGCATTCACGATGTCCGTTGGTTGAGTCGGGGCCAGGTTGTGGAGCGACTCTGCGAAGTCCTACCCGTGGTGATTGTGCTTCTCCAGGAGTACGACACTGCCATCTACCACGTCATAACCTCGCTGAAGTTCCATGTGTACCTTTTCTTCCTCGCTGATGTCCTGGCAGAGCTTAACAACCTCAACCTTGTATTTCAGCGACGCGAGGTGAGTGGTTCAGTGGTACTGGTCATGATTCCCGTGCCCTCTTCAACAAACTAATCGCGATCTCCTCTTTGCTGTATTCTGCGTGCCTCACCCACCTGCAGGTTGACCTCACTGGCGTGCAGTCCCTGGTCCACCGCACACTCATCTTCATCCGAGAGCGCTACATTGACTGTGGGCCACAGTTTGGCGCGGAGACAAGCAAGCGCCTGTCGCCCTTCCTCAAGCGTCTCTCGTCCAGCCGCACCGTCAAGGTGGAAGGCATTGACAGCGACGGAAGCACGCAGAAACACAGCTTTGACTTGCACGAGGAGCCGCTGAAAGGGTACAGCAAAACGCTAGGCGACCTGGAGACTTGCATCAACACCTGCCGCTCCTATGCGGTTGCGGTAGTGGACCACCTGCAGGAGAGGTTTAAAGACCTTGACAGTTTGGATGGCGCAAAGCTCTTCATGCCGGACAGCTGGCCAAAGGACACGGACGGACGGAACAAGGAGTGTGCAGCCCACCAGGAAGCCCTATTCAAGATGTTCCACATCGGCGAGCGGAGGGAGGTGCTTCCTGGTGAGTGATGCTTTCGGCAAGCGCATCACCTGCGCATGTTAGCGCAGACTGACTGGCGTGTTTCTTGCATGTGATCTTGGGTGCAGGTGTGGACAAGCGCATGGCGAAGAAGGAGCTCAGGACCCTGGTGCCTGTTCTCCAAGGAGCTCCTCGTGGAGAGCGCAGCTTCCACGATGGCCTGGCGGCAATGCTCAAGACCGGCGACTGGGAGAGGAGCTACCCGAACCTCGTGAAGCTGTGGGTAGCAGTGGCGGTCCTGCCGCTGAGTACGGTGGAGTGTGAAAGGGGATTTAGCCGGCAGAACATCATCAAAACCTGGTAGAGAACGAGCCTCTGCAATGGAAAGCTCGGCGATCTCATGTGCCTGAGCATGCTACGATACGACGTGGATTGGGATGAGGTGGTGAAGGTATGGAGGAGTAGCAAAAAGCGCCGACCCACCCACAAGAAAGATCACCAGCAGCACAAGCAGCTGCAGCAGCAGCAGCGGCAGCAGCAACAGGCCAAGGGTTGGAAGAAGGTGCCCGACGACCACGATTCAGACGATGAGAGCAGCAGCAGCAGCAGCAGTAGCAGCAGCAGCAGCTCTAGCCCGGATGGGGAAAACTACTAATCTGGTTCTATTCAAGTGTAGTAGACTAGTAGTAGTTTAGGGGATGCGTAATGGTCGTAGTAGTAATCTACCAGACGAACAAACTGTGGCAATTATTGTGTTTCCATTTCAAACATTGAATACATCATGCAACAAAAAATGCCCTGAGGTTTCAGGGTTTACTTCTGGCATGCCCTGAGAAATCAAGGTCCCCCTAGAAGCTCTGCCCTGAGGAGGACACGCATTTTGAGCCATGCCCTGAGGGCCCAGGGTCCCTAAAATTGAATCTGAGGCCCTGCCCTCAGCGGATCGAAGCTTTTTCTGCCTGACGCGTACCCCAAGGGTAGCGCGAAGAGAGACCGCCATTGCGCAGCCTGGTTTCAGTCTCTCCGCGAGCTGTTCAGTGCGGAGAAGTGCGTACTTCCAGGTAGGTGTTTGTCTATGGAGTGCATCAATGTTTCAAACTCGGTGTGCTGTTTTCAAATACTTACCTCCCCGTCGCCCCCCCCTCTTGTACTTGCTACTGTGCGTGAGCAGGAGTGAGCTGGAAAAAGGCCCAACGGGAACTGGTGCCGTTCACCAAGATGATGGCCTCGCAGTACAAGGACCCAACATTCCACGCCGGCCTCAAGCACATGTTGCGCAGTGAAGATTGGGAGACGAGCTACCCCAACATGGTCTGCATCTGGACCGCTCTCGCCGTGCTGTCGTTGAGCACCGTCGAGTGCGAGCACAGCTTCTCGAGGCAGAATATCATCAAATCCTGGCTCCGCGGTAATATGTGCAACACACGCCTGGCGGATTTGATGTCCGTGTCGCTCCTGCAGTACGAGCCGAACTGGGACGAGGTGGTGGCTGCTTGGAGGGTGGCAAAGAAGAGGCGCCCCGCTAAGGAAGTGACGATGAAGTGCACTTCAGAGAGAGCCCCTAAGAGGAAGGCCGAGAGAGGAAACGACAGCTGCTGCCTCCAATGAAGACGAAGATGAGGAAGATGTGGTAAGGCGGAGGACATCAAAGAAGGGCAAGGCACGTGCAGCTGTAGCCGTCTCGGACAGTGATGATGGCGACGATGAGGGGAATAATAATGGGCTTGATGTCCGTGCCACAGTGGCGCTAGACTCTGATACTGAGTAGAGTAGTTGTAACAACCAGTTTGAAGTTTAATAATATACTCATGTGATAGTTCTACTGAACTTGTACAAGTGAGTGATTTTAGCTAATGCCAATGTGCTTCCAAAAAATAATGGCAAACAGAAATGCAAGTGCACTGTGGTATGACACAAAAGACATCGATTCTGAAATTCTTGATCAAACGGACAGGGAATCATCCATCCTACTGATGAAGCAGACGGGCCCTTCGGGCCCGTCTGCTCCATCAGGCACCCTTAGATCCTAGGGACGTCCCTGGAGTGAATGTCGAAAAGTAGTTCGTGCGACTAGAAAGAAAAAGGCAAGAAAGCTAGTGCCACGTGTTGGGATGAGGTTGGGGGACTGTTTAGGATAAACAACCCTTGAACAGTAAAGTACCCCGTAACCTAACCCCTCTCCCAATGAGGCGACGTCCGCGGCGCCTGCAGACTGAAGGTACGCTTGAAGGCAAGCATTGTCGGGAGACAGCGACGACGAAGGAACCCAGCTGTAGTCGGCTGCAACGTAACCATGCCAATGAACCAAGAAGTCGATGAAAGAGATGTTGGGCTGAGAAAAGCCCTCAGGATCTTTTCAAGGCTAAGACTTTGAGTAGGAATGTTGTAATTGCGGAAGCGTTTAATGACAAAGTGTTGAACCACCTCGCGCTAGTATGTGAGGGCAAGATAGATTGATTATAGCAAAGTAATATAAAGCTTTTCTAAGATTACAAGGAATATGGAAGGGTGCATTAATGGTTTAACTGTAGCTGTTGCGGTTCAATACAGTGACGACTCGGGCAACTGCTCAATACCGAGTCAGTTGTTTGTCCTTGCTGTCACGCTGTATTTGTCGAGTCAAAGGTCGCTGACTTTTCTGGTTGCTGCTTTTCTGTCAACCTCCTCGGTTGACTCGCCATTGCTGCGCTGTAGTTCACCTCGTTTACAGTCTGATCTTACGACACATAAGAAGCGTTAATTACTTGTTTCCAACCTCCCCTTTGCTTCTAGAGTGTCGTTGCTGGTGACGTGGCCTTGTCCAGTCAGCAGCATGCAGTACTCGAACTTATGCTTTTCGAGCTTCTTGGTCAAGTAATCGGCTGCCATCTCGGACGTGGGCCAGTAGGATAGTTCGAGTCTCCCCTTCTCGATCTCGTCTTTCACAAAGAAATATCGCAAGGCGATATACTTCGTCCGGTTTGCGAACCCGTTCTTGTTCGCTATGCAAATTGCTGACTGGTTGTCATAGAACAGGGAGAAGCTGGGTAACTGGGCCAGCTTCGCTTCTTCCAGTAGTTCGCGAAGGTACAGTCCTTCCTTGGTGGCTGAGCAAAGTGCAATATATTTTGCTTCAGCTGAGGGGAGGGCAATTAGTTCATGTTTTCTCGACTGCCACGAGATAGGTCCGATAGGTTCGAGTCGGTAGATGTAGCCGGTGCGTGAACGCCTGTTGTCGGAGTCGCCTGCGTGGTCAGCATCCACGTAGCCGATTAGCTTGGGCGTCGTGGTTCCGGTTTTGTGGTGGGTCAGGCCGATTGTCGGGGTGCTGACGAGGTAGTGAAGTGCGCGGTCGAGTTCCGCCATGTGTTCTGCTTCAGGCTTCTTGAGGTAGGTGGCGAGTTGGCTCACTGAGTACGATAGGTCCGGTCGGCAGGTGACGGCTGCGAAGAGCAGACATCCTAACTTTCGCTGGTAGTCGCGTATGCCGGCGGGCTTGAGCGGAGCAGAGGTTTCTTTGTGATTTCCGGCAGTGTAGCGGTATGGCGTGAAGATAGCAGCTGGGGTTAGTCCGAAGCGCTTGGTGATGGTGTCGTCGTATTTTGCGGCGCCGAGGTAGATCGCGTTTTCCCTTTCTTGTATGTTGAGCCCGAGATATTGCGTCACGATGGAGGAGACGGTGAGTGTGAGATCTCGCTACAGCTCCCTTTCGAACCAGGTTGTGATGCCGTCGGTTGAGCCGATGTAGAGCAGATCGTCCACGTAGACGATGAGTAGGATGTAGTCGATGCCTTTCGTGAGTCGGTACATGCCCTGGTCGTGCGGTAGTTGGCGGAATTTGATCCGGATTAGTCGGACGTGTAGGTACTGCTGCCACAGCCTCGGAGCTTGCTTGATGCCATACAGGGACTTCAGCAACTGACAGACTTGGTTTGGGTCTGCGTTGGAGCCGTGCGTGTCAGAATGTATTTGCTGTCTAGCCTGCAGTGGGGTACTCTGTAATGAGTACAACCCAATTTAGGGTGTTGTACTTGTATCCCAACTCTTGCTAGTGAAAACTCCATTCCTCGTTTCTTCTCATGTTATCAGAGGTTAACGTTCCTGGCCTGTGGGCCCACTCGATTCCGCTGCCCTACTGTGTGTCGCGCGCCCCGTGGCGCGCGACATCCCATTTTTCTTCCCGCCACGCGCTCGGAGCGCGTGGCGGTTTTCTGCCCGCCGTGCGCCCCGAGGCGCGCGGCGGGTTCCTACCTCGTCGCGGCGTCTTAGGGGCCCGCGCACTGGCCCCGACCGTCGCCTCGTCGAGGCGTTTTGGGGGCCTGCACGCAGGTCCCTCCCGTCGCCTCGTCGCGGCACTTTCGGGGCCCGCGAGCCGGCCCCTCCCGTTGCCTCGTCGCGGCGCCTTAGGGGCCTGCACGCGGTCCCCTCTCGTTGCCAGTCGAGGCACTTTTGGGGACCTGCGCGGCTCCCTAGCACATCGCCCGTCAGGGCACAATGGGGGCCGCGCCCTTCCCCTCCCCTCCCTCCTACTTTCCGCTGCAGCAGCCGCCCCTGGAGCCGCCGCCCCTGAAGCAGCCGCCCCTGGAGCGGCCTGCCTTGCAACAGCAGCCGCCCCTGGAGCAGCCGCCCCAGCAGCAGCAGCCCCTGGAGCAGCCGCCCCAGCAGCAGCAACCCCTGGAGCCGCCGCCACTGCAGCGGCCGCCCCAGCAGCAGCAGCCCCTGAAGCAGCCGCCCCAGCAGTAGCAGCCCCTGGAGCAGCCGCCCCAGCAGCACCAGCCTCTGGAGCAGCCGCCCCAGCAGCAGCAGCCCCTGGAGCAGCCGCCCCAGCAGCAGCAGCCCCTGGAGCAGCCGCCCCAGCAGCAGCCGCCCCAGCAGCAGCAGCCCCAGCAGCAGCAGCCCCTGGAGCAGCCGCCCCAGCAGCAGCAGCACCTGGAGCAGCCGCCCCAGCAGCAGCCGCCCCAGCAGCAGCAGCACCTGGAGCAGCCGCCCCAGCAGCAGCAGCCCCTGGAGCAGCCGCCCCAGTAGCAGCCGCCCCAGCAGCAGCAGCCCCTGGAGCAGCCGCCCCAGCAGC